GTCTTTCAATCCACCTTTTGGTTACAATAGCTTTAACATAAGTGAAAATGATTTCCCCCTCAGAGGATCTTGACCAAATATTTTTTTTTCCCCACAGGAGTCCCATAACTTCAGGGAATGTGAAGTTACTGAACTGATTAAATTTTGCAGCTTCACACCACCTCACATGCATTCATTTTAGATATTCCTGACACCACCTCAAATTTATTCATTTTAAATGTTTCTGACACAAAAATCACATGAAAAAGAAGTTTAATACACATGATAATTTCATTGATCGTCAGCTATAGAGACGGAAAGCCTGTACAAAAGGCTTCAACTATAAATTTAATCTCTGTTCATGAAATTTTGGTACTTTCAATAGAAAATCCAAGTAATATAACTGTTCTGAATTCATCTTGAAGGCATAAATTACTCTCTGCCACCCTGCTTTGTAAGGAATACTTTGGCCGCAAGGAGGGTAAGTCCCGGATCCTGAAACATCAAATACTTCAAATAAAATTATGAGGCAGGAGATAAAACCTTTCAAAATCAAACACAATATATGCAGAGTTTTAGGGAATAGTTGATGCCAAAAGAGGGGTATTCCTGGGATGAGAAATATATAGAGACAAAGCTTTCAAGCACTTGATCAGGTTGAATCAGCAAAAAGTGGTGGTCTTGCAACAACTACTTGAAAAAGAATAAGCACATTATTAAATTGTGAAGTTTAAGGGGCTGAATACTATTCCAGTGGGGTGAAATGAGGAAAAGGGGGTGGATAACACTACTATTCTAAGGGATACTAGGAGGAGATTATTCAATGAGAGAGATAATTAATCTATGCTTGCGGCTTAATATGCTGAGTATATATTTCAGGGAAAAATCAGACCTCGATTTATAATCTAGAGTTCCCTTCAGAGAGACAATAGAAGGCTCTAGTATATTTCATCATTCTCAAATCAAATGATGCAGTAATAGTGTCCCCTTGCACTATAGAAGTTCACTTGGTGCACTTCAATTCTTTCTATTTTCCATTCTGAATTGTATTTTAAACTAAAAAATGAATCTTTTCTCTGGAATATAATGAATTTTGGTGAATTACAATTCAAGTTTATAAGTGTGGGAATAATTATACTAAAATTCACAGTAATGTTGAGTTTGCTTGTAAATTTGTTGAATAAATCTCAGGTTTCTTCCTCCCATTAGATTTTAACTATGTAAAAACCCTGCATGTACCTGGTGAGTTCTTATAGTTACATACTATAATTGATTCTATTTATATTTATGGTGCATGTTTCACAGCACCAATTATTTTACTATTTTTGTTGTGGTAATTTTAGATTTCCTGAATTACCACAGGGAGTAGAAATTTAGACCATCTCCACTGGCAGTGTGTAAACTGGTGCCTAAATTGTGAACTTGTGTCACTGCACCACAGTTTTAGTCCCTTGCCAGGAGAATTTCCTTCACCACAAGGGGTCAAAGTAGCTACTGAGGGATGTGAAAGAATGTACCCAAATCCCCTGGAGGGTGAACTTTTTTTTGATCATGCAGGTCCACAAAAAAAACAATGAAAAAAAAAAATCCAAATAATCGAAATAGATCCAACCTTGGTTCAAATTCTTGATTGAAAACCGCAGATTGTAGCATGCAAAAAATTCAGAATAGATGCATTGATCAAAGCTGTGGTCTTTGAAAAACAAAATGATTAAGAAGTGTTGCACAGTGGATCCAAGAAAAGAAAAATGCCAACTTGCACCCAGGAATTTGAAGGGGCCTATCAACAACTTGTGGTTTATTTTCAAATTGGCCACTGTAAAATGAAGTGAATTTCTGGTAAACAATTTAATGGCACGGCCACTCTTTGTGAAGATTTTTGAAGCCATTGAGGACTTTGATGAATACCCCACTCATTGACTGGATGCTGTAGTAAGGGGATGTAAAGTCCGTCATGAAGATCAAAGTGGCGCTCCAAATGCTTTCCTAAAATGCTGCCACCAATTTTAATGAAAAATATCTTCAATTATACAATTCAATCCCTACAATCAATGAATAGACCTTGCGTGGAAATTATCCAAATTTATGCTTCCAAGTATCTTCAACACCCCATAACAGAGAATTTGGAGAGGCTTCTCACTATATGCACCAAAATAGGACTCCCTGGCATTCTATTATTGCTTGACTGCATGAATTGATAGTAGAGGAACTGCCCTTCAGGTTGGGCTGGGCAGTTCCATAGGAAATAAAAAGTAATTTTTTTGCCACATTTGGTATTTGCCAAAAACTTATTGCAATCTCAAGGACTCAACACTGCAAAAAAGCCCTGCTCAACTTCCTGCAGTTGACATGCAGAAAGTCCCAGGAAGCTTCTTTTGTTACTCCAACCATGCTCCAAAAGTGTTTCAACCAAGCTTTGATGCACAGTCACTGTGCCAAAAATTCTACATAGGCAAACATGTGGAGTTTGAATGGAAGCTTGGCTGGAGCATGCTGCATG